GTCTGGTGCCACTAAACGCATTCAGAGGCAGATCAGGACTTACTTGACAAGAAGAGAGTTCCTTGGGCAGAAAAGAGCTACAATTTACATGCAAACGCTTTGGAGAGGTTTTATTCTTCTAATGTCTCAACAGTACCACTCTACCAAACACAAAGCTATGAATTCAAAACTAATATAGCAAATTTCTACAGCACAACTTGCACGCAAGTTGTATCAAAACATGAGAAGGGAAGCTGCTTCAATATGTATCCAAAAGAACATTCGTGCTCACAGAGCAAGGAAATGCTACACTAAGCTCCAGGCATCAGCAACAGTTATTCAGACCGGTTTACGGACAATGGCTGCTCGAAACAAACATAGACACAGAAGAAGAACAAAGGCAGCAATTATAATTCAGGTACTAGATTTTGACTACTTTATCACACTTATTAACTTTCTATCAAAAATATCAGAAGGTTTGTTGGATTTTCTGTATCTCAGACTAGTTTACTCTTAAACCAATAATCAAAAGCAGTAACCAATCTTATAGGATTTTTGATATATACGTTTCTTAAATATTTCTGACTGATATATCTTCTAACAGAGGGAATGGAGAAGGCATCAAGCTCATGAAGCTTATAAGCAGCATAAAAGAGCAACATTAGCGTTACAATGTCTGTGGAGAGCTAAAGTAGCTCGAAAAGAGCTGAAAATGCTGAAAATGGTAAGTTCACTTTGAGTGATTAGTCTCTCATAAGAATCAATCTACTCTGTCTACGAGGCAGACAATGCTTCTGTCTAAGTTACTAAACTAAAATATTAACAACAAAGGCTGCAAGAGAAACTGGGGCACTCAAGGAAGCCAAGGACAAGTTAGAGAAGCGTGTGGAAGAGCTAACCTGGCGTCTCGAATTAGAGAAGCATCAAAAGGTAAATTATCAATGATATTAGAAAGTGTGCTACATAGTGGTTTAATTCCAAAGATATGTCAATAGGTTGACCTCGAGGAAGCAAATGCACAAGAAATCGCAAACCTACAAAATACTTTAACTGAGTTGCAAGAGAAGCTAGATGAAGCCCACAGTGAAATCATACGAGAGAAAGAAGCAGCAAAATTAGCCATTGAACAAGCTCCACCAGTCATCAAAGAGGTTCCAGTTGTAGACAACACTCAACTGGAGTTACTGAACAGTCAAAACAATGAACTGGAGGTAAAATTTAACCTTCCAAATCCCACCAACTAACAGATATTTGCCTGATACAATAATCTTCAAAATGCAGGTTGAGGTGGAGAAATTAAAAGGAAGAATTGAGGAGTTTGAAGCAATATGTTCTGCATTTGAAAGAGATAGCAAGGCAAGTCTAACTGAAGCAGAAGATGCAAAAGCAAAGGCCATCGAACTTCAGGAGATCATTGAAAGGTATATAGATTCAATTGGTTCCTTGTGGCATTGAAATCATATTTCTGTTTTACAGTCAGGATTCACGAGTGTTCTTGGTACATTTTCAGATTGCATACGAACCTGTCAAATCTTGAATCCGAAAATCAGGTCTTGCGCCAGCAGGCTTTAGCCGCTTCAACAAGCGCCGAAGAGTCTCAAGAGTTAAACAGGTACGGTCTTGTGATCTGAACAGTTCTCTCATCTTAGTACATTGTTTTTCTTCTCTCAGCATAGAAATGTTTTAGATTGAAGGATAGGGTTGCGATTCTAGAGTCAGAAAATGAATCTCTCCGAAGACAGAGAGCTGATGTAGAAAAGACTGTGCCTCCTGAAGCAGTTTTTGCATCCACAAAGGTGAAAAACTTCTGTCAACATGAAACTTTTTGAAGTAAAAAACCATGTATGATAGTTACATCAATGAATATAACTATGCAGGATCTTGAAAATGGACATCAAACAGAAGAGATGCAGGCAACAAAGGTAAAGTATCTTTTGCTAGGCCGGGTTAAGAAACACTAATCTACAATTCCTTATCCCTTGTTATATGTTTCAGGAGCCAAGAAGTCCACTCGTTATGTTAGCAAAACAAAAACCTCTAACAGAGAGGCAACAGGTATCATTCGAGAGAACTTGTTTGTACTAAAGAGCCATAAGTTGATAACCAACAAAACCAAGCAGAATCTATTTCAACATATGTTTCATTACAGAAGAATTTTGAGTTAATATTACTGAACAGGAGAGCCATGATTTGCTGATGAAATGCCTCACGGACGAGAGAAGGTTTGATAACGACAGATCTGTGGCAGCCTGGATAGTTTACAAGGCACTACTTCAATGGAGATCATTTGAAGCAGAGAAAACAAATATATTTGATAGAATTGTTCATCAAATTCGATCGTCCATCGAGGTAATAAACTAAAGACAAATGACAAGCAGTAAGATTCTGAAACCAGCACAATATATATTCAAGTTATACTAATTTTTGGTCCAGAAGAGCAAAGTTGACACAAGGGAACTAAGTTATTGGCTCACAACAAGCTCTACACTCTTATATCTTCTACAATCTACACTCAAGTTCAGCAATACAAATAATACAGCTTCAAGACGTAACAGATCATCCCAAGCTACACTATTTGGACGATTGGTCCAAGTAAGATTCGTGAAAAGTAAAATTCAGTATGATCCAAACTTATAAGAGACTAAGTAACTGTTGACAATAACATTGTAGGGGATGCAATCATCTTCAATGAGCTTGGAGACATCCAGTGGCTACAGTGGGATGGTTGGAATATCAAATGACCAAGAAATGGTTGAAGCTAAATACCCGGCTTTACTATTCAAGCAACACTTAGCAGCATACGTTGAGAAAACATATGGAATGATCAGAGATAACTTAAAGAAAGAGATAAACCCATTACTAAATCTCTGTATCCATGTCAGTACATCATTATTCATTTAATTACTAAGGAACTTATCTTAGTGATTTGCTATATCATGTATATTAACAATGTGTTATATGTGAGATGTAACAGGCACCAAGACCGACGAGAGCCAGAAACTTGCGAGCTGTGACTAAAAGCATCCACTTGACTACAACTACCAAGCAACAGACATCCTATGTACAATGGCAGAACATCATCAACAAGCTCGAACATACCTTAACCTGCATGGCAGAGAACCATGTAAGACAATGGCACTTTCGAAGAAGCTTTAAATTTTTCTTTTCTTTTTAGTTCCTTGACTGAGTCTTAATGATCTCCAGGTCCCATCTATGATTACAAGAAAAATCTTCCATCAGGTTTTCTCGTACATCAATGTGCAGCTCGTTAACAGGTACAGAAAGCTTATCGCATAGGACACAACTAGCTACATGTAGATACGAGGTAGTTTTTACTTACAAAGTTTATCTTCTTGCAGTTTGTTGCTTCGCAGAGAGTGTTGTTCTTTTAGCAACGGAGAATACCTGAAAATGGGCTTGCATGAATTAGAGCAGTGGTGCCTGAAGGCAGACGACGAGGTAGGCTAAAGCATTATTAACCCAATTATGCAAAGAGCAAAACAGACAAGAAGAAAAGATTAACTTACATAATTCTTTTTTTTTTGGTGTCTCCTTAAAGGCAGCAAGATCACCATGGGATGAACTTCAACACATAAGGCAAGCAGTGAAATTTCTGGTACAACTTCGAACCATTATTATTGTGAAACACACATACAATGGTGAAAGTTCTGCATTTTGATTGGCAACACTATCACTCTACAGGTTTCGCATCAAATGACACAGAAGTCGTTGGAAGAGATCACAAAAGAGATATGCCCGGTAATTACCTTCAACCACAACTTTCTACAGAGCATATAAAAGGATCATAGTTGGATATGAAAGTAAAAGCAATAAATTTGAATAAACTAAACTAGAGACTGACAAGATGTCATAAAACTAAAACCTTCCTACTTCCAATTATTGCTACACAAACTGTTGATTATGAAAATTCACAGAACCTTGATTTGTTATATTTCTCAAATTAGTTTCTTTTTTTTGGTCAGGTACTAAGCATTCCACAAGTATATCGAATTGGGACTATGTTTTGGGATGACAAATATGGAACTCAAGGACTCTCCCCTGAGGTAAGTAATGGATCAACCAAACTTCTTCAAGAAAAATCACAGAATAAACATAACAAAAGCACTGAGACAAAATTACACCTAAACAAAAACGAAAGCAACAATATTTCCAGTTACAAATTGTTCTGTGTTCAACTAAACCTGGACTCATTATCATACGATTTGTGCGGCCATGGCATTAGGTGATTAAGCAGATGGGAACATTAATGGCGGAAGATTCAGTCAACATGACTTACCCTTCTTTCTTGCTTGACGTCGATTCAAGGTACGTAAAAGGAGAGATAAGTTTCTCTCCCATTACTCTAATCACTCTCGCATTTTCAAAAGCAAGTTAACGTTTTTGGTATCTTGCAGCATTCCTTTCTCAGTGGAAGATGTGTCGCAATCTTTCCACGGCGGCACCATTAGCCTCTCCGACGTTGATCCACCGCCGCTTCTACGCCAGCGATCTGATTTCCACTTCTTGTTCCAGACATTGCCTGAGTAATAAAGAACACAACAACGAAGAAAGGAATTTGCTCTCTCTGCAAATATTTCATTATTACTATTTAATCCATGAGTTTTGCATATATTACAGAAAGGGAAGCTTTTCTTTTCAACTTTCTTTATTTTCCACAAGAATCTCTTCATTTTTATTTTCACAAAAAGAAAGAGAAACCACTCTTCTCGTTTTTGCCATCTCATGAATATTATATTTGCTAATCTGATTGTAACCATTTGGAAAATAGTGGGTATGCTAATCTGAGGATCATAAAGTTATATGGAAAATAGTTGGTATGTTCTACGAAGAAGATAATTTTATAGGGATCATTATGACAATTAACATATTTTATCGCCGATCAGTTTGATTCGATGGTTTGAAAACAAACTCACGGAACCAATCAGAGGGTTCTAGCTAAAACCCACTCTCTCTGTTACAATCACAGAGCCATCAAAATTTCTCCGACTGAGAAGAAGAAGATGGAATGTGTAGTTCCGTTATGGCGGTGCTTCTGTCTCAGTCCGCCGGAGCTACGCCACCGCATCGTTAACCACACTCGCCGCCAACTCGGTCTGTCTCTCTCCTCCTCCTCCGCATCAGGTCGCCACTTCATTTCCTCTTCTCCTCTTTGTTGTTCAATCAACCCAGCTTTATAACCTTGCACGCTCTTTGGTTCATTTCCAGGTCTTTGGGCTCTCCCTGATAAGAAGAATCGATTTCCTGCTCAGAGCCGTACGGGCTCTCTCGAGCACCTTCCTCGCTCCGTGGTTAGTTCTCGGAAATTTCTGCACTTTCATTTCATAGGTATCCGAAATTGTGAAATTGTTAGGTAAAAATGATTTCTTTGTGATGTTCCATTCACTTTGTTGCTCTGATTAATTTAGTCTTTATTTGTGTGGAAGGTTTTGGATAAGGTTGCACAACAAATCTTTCTGTGATTTCAAAGCTTAATTCTCATTGTTGTTTCAGAACTCGGCTGTGATTGGTAACTCAGAGAAACAGCTGGAAGAAGAAGAAGAGGAGGATGATGATGCAGACTGGGAGTCAGAATTTCTTGGGGAGATTGATCCTTTGGAGATTCAACCTCCAAAGAAGAGGAAAAAGCAGAAAAATTCAAGAGCGCTTGAGGACACTGAAGGTATGGATTGGTGCGTGAGGGCAAGGAAGATGGCACTTAAATCGATTGAGGCTAGAGGGCTGTCTTCTAGAATGGCGGAGGTGGTGTCCGTTAAAAAGAAGAAGAAGAAGAAGAGCAAGAAAGTGCTTGCAAACAAAGACAAGGTCAAAAGTAAAAATGTTCTTGAAGATGATTTTGATACAGATGAAGAAGATTTGGACTTTCAAGATCCATCGGCGGAGGATAAGATGGGGGAGCTAAGGAAGAGAGTTAGCTCATTAGCTGGTGGAATGTTTGAGGAGAAGAAGGAGAATATGAGGGAGCAGTTAGTTCAGAGGCTATCTCAATTTTCAGGACCTTCTGATCGTATGAAGGAAATCAACCTGAACAAAGCTATAATAGAAGCACAGACAGCTGAAGAGGTGCTTGAAGTAACAGCTGAGACAATCATGGCTGTTGCTAAAGGTTTAAGTCCATCTCCGTTGTCTCCCTTAAACATTGCTACTGCGCTCCACCGGATTGCCAAGAACATGGAGAAAGTTTCGATGATGAGAACTCGCAGGCTTGCGTTTGCTCGGCAGAGAGAGATGTCGATGCTTGTTGCTCTTGCAATGACGTGCTTACCGGAGTGTTCAGCTCAAGGGATCTCAAATATTTCTTGGGCGTTGTCGAAAATCGGTGGTGAATTGCTTTATCTGACAGAGATGGATAGAGTTGCAGAGGTTGCCACATCTAAAGTGGGAGAGTTCAATTCTCAGAATGTTGCTAATATTGCAGGAGCTTTTGCTTCCATGCGTCATTCTGCTCCAGAGCTCTTTGCTGAGTTGTCAAAGAGAGCGTCTACGATTATCATCACTTTTAAAGGCCAAGAAATTGCTCAACTGTTGTGGTCATTTGCTTCGCTTTACGAGCCAGCTGATCCTTTGCTTGAATCTTTAGATATTGCTTTTAAAGGCAGTGACCAGTTTTGCTTGACGAAAGAAATATCAAACTATGATGAAGTAGCAGATGTTGAAGTAAGCGATGGTGCTTCAGGATCTCCATCACTTAGCTTTAATAGGGACCAGCTTGGAAACATAGCATGGTCTTATGCTGTTCTCGGGCAAGTGGAGCGACCTTTCTTTGCAAATATATGGAATATGTTAACCACTTTGGAAGAGCAAAGGCTATCAGAACAGTATAGGGAAGATGTCATGTTTGCTTCTCAGGTGTATCTTGTGAATCAGTGCTTGAAAGTTGAGTGTCCTCACCTTCAGCTGTCACTTTGTCATGAACTCGAAGAGAAGATAACCCGTGCAGGGAAAACCAAAAGGTTCAATCAGAAAATAACCTCATCTTTTCAGAAAGAAGTTGGACGTCTCCTGATAAGTACAGGGCTTGATTGGGTTAAAGAACATGATGTGGATGGCTACACCGTGGATGTTGCTCTGGTCGAAAAGAAAGTTGCTCTAGAAATCGATGGACCAACTCATTTCTCAAGAAACACTGGTTAGTACCATCAATGTGTTTCTTTATTTATCTTGGTGACTGGAAGAGGAAAACCAAACTCAGTGATCACTTATGATTTTTGCGTCTTTACAGGACTACCATTAGGCCATACAATGCTGAAGCGGCGATATGTTACTGCTGCTGGATGGAAAGTAGTATCATTGTCTCTTCAAGAGGTTGGTTTAAAACGTTTATAACTCCCAAGTATACAAATTGAGTTTACTAGGATGATGCTATGGAATCAAAAGTACACATTGTTCTCCATTTTTTTAATACATGTTTTTGTTCGAGACAAAAAAGCTCACATGTAGAGTTTACAAATCTCAACATGTGTTGACTTTGTTATTTTATTATTTTGTAGTGGGAAGAACATGAAGGCAGTCATGAACAGCTAGATTATCTGAGGGAGATTCTCGACGGCTGCTTATAGAGAAGACAGAGACGAAATACGTAAGGCATTGCATTTTATGGTTGTTAATTACAGTTCTCTGTTCCTTCATGTGTATAGGCTAAAGATTACTATATTATAATGTGATTTATGTTTAGAGCAATAAAAACATAATTATAATCATTTCAAATTATACATCTTCATCACAAGCTTCTGCCAAGCGATAGTTATTTCTTATGCAACAGGAAATATGGAAAATACATTTAGAAGCAAACAATATATCATAGAGGGATACTAGTGCTTGATCTGGGATAACATAGTCCTGACATCTTTGCTGTTGGGCCTCTGTTTCGGATCATCCAAAGTACAGTAACAAGCGATTTTCAGAACCAAAAGCATCTGTTCGTCGAATCCTTGTCCCATCAACTTCGGATCAATCGCAAGGCTTGGATTCTCCGATGTTATTATGTTCCTCATCCACTTTATCAGACTCATCTCGTCTGTATGCTGGAAAAACTCATCTGAAGGAAGCTTTCCGATCACCAGAACCCCAAGAATCACTCCAAAGCTAAAGATGTCACATTTATCTGTGAACTTGAGAGTTTGATGATACTCTGGTGCAATGTATCCAACAGTACCTGCGAGATTCGCTGTTGTCACGTGTGTGACCGCATCAGGCATTGCCTTTGCCAGCCCGAAGTCTGAGATTCTTGCCTCCATGTCATCATCAAGAAGAACATTTGCTGGCTTTAGGTCTCTGTGAATGATTCTTGGGCTATGATCCGTGTGAAGATACTCAAGCCCTGCGGCTATACCTAAAGCAATCTTGTGCCTTGCGGGCCACATTAGCTCTTTGTTTCCAGCTGACACATCGCTTAGTATATCTTGCAAACTCCCATTCTTCAAGTACTCGTAGACGAGGTAGTGACACTCTGGTCTTGGCACGTGTGCTAACAATGGGAGAAGATTCCGGTGCCGGATTTGGCCTACTGTGTTGATCTCTGATCTGATTTGCCTCATTTTCTTGTTCAGAAACTTGGAGTCTTCGTCTGTAAGTTCGTTGGCGTCTTTAGCCGGTTGTATAACTTTCTTCACGGCGATGATCTTCCCGTTGCTTCCTGGTAGCTCCGCTTTAAAGACTTTTCCACAACCTCCTTCTCCAATGACCTCCAGAGAGGCTAAAGCTTCTTCGTTCTCCAAGAAAGCTAAATCTTCAGCTCTCTTGATCAATGGGCTGAATATGGAAGGACCTGATGGTTTTTCTGGTCCTCTTATTGCTCTAAGAATCATTCTGAACATCACCGAGAAGACAAAACCAGAGATTGTTCCGCCTATGCCTCCAACTACGAACCCTAAGATCCACGCCGCTGCTTTCTTCTTTTTGTTCTTCTTCTTCTTCTTCTTTTTCTCTGGCTTTGGAGTTTGCCCTTTTGCTTTCGATGTGGTGGTGTTGTTTGGTTTCTTCGTGGAATTTGAAGATGGAGTTTCAGCAAGAATGTGTCTTGTTTGGTGTGGAGATGTCTGAAGCTTGGTTTTGCTCATAACCGGAACCGGACCTTCCAAAAACCGGTTTCCAGAGAAATCAAAGAACCGGAGGTTGTGGAACGACACAGCTGGCTCCGGGATCTTGCCTGAGAAGAGATTGTTTGCAACGGAGAGGTTCTCAAGATTGCGTAGGTTCTTCAAGAAATTCAAGTTCCCGGAGAGTTTGTTGGAAGAAAGGTCAAGGATTCGAAGACGGACCAAACGAGAGAAGTTTCCCGGAATCTGACCGGAAAATCTGTTGTTTCGAACATCAAGGACTTCCAGTTTCTTACAGTTTAAGACATCCACTGGAAGACCATTGACCAACTGGTTGTTAGACAAAGTGAGTTCCTTGAGCTCCGACAGTTTTCCGATCACCGGCGAAATGGTCCCCGTCAAGCTCCGGGAACGGTAGACAAGCCTCGTGACACGGAGAACGTATTCTTCGGTGTCGGTGGAGAGCCGTCTCTCGCAGAAAACTCCTCCTCGGCCGCACGGGTTGACTCCACTCGACGAAGAAGGTTGACCGTTGACTCCGAGCTCTCTCTCGATGACTTGAAGAGCTTTGAGATCGGAGGAATCGACATCGAGCAACTCTGCTGAGAATACGAAAGAAGAGACAAGAAGAAGGGTGAGAACGGCGAGAATGAGAGGCCGGAGAAAGAGGTCGGCGTTTCCAGTGGGAACAGCCATTTTAATCATTTTTGTTGAAAGAAAGTTTCTTGTTTAGGATGTTGTCGGAGTCTACTCTGGTTATTTATGGTCAGCAACTGACACTAATCTTTAACGTGTTCTAAGGTTTTTTCAATTCTAAATTTTTTGAATTAATACTTTTCAAATATTCCACTGGTTAACTGAATTATTTATTGTTAAACATATGATTGTTAATTTTAAATTAATATTTGTAAAATATATGGTTTGGACTTGGGAGTGTCCTGCTTAAGGGATTTGCATATGTAAAAAACATTTGTGATTATTGCAAATACTTCTGTAAGGTTTTGTACTTTTGTTTGATAAATGTATACTTGCCTACTTGGATACTTTTCCAGGAGATAATAATGTAGAAAATGTGAATATAGCTAGTTGCAATAATAGCCATGTATCGGCGATTAATTCTGTTATTGACTTGACTATGTGAGCGTTGATAAGTCAAAGTCTACTCTGTGGGTTCTACAGTGACTGTGAGCCACCGTTTTCTACAAGTTAGAAATTAGGGGTTCCACATCTTTTTGTTTGTTTGTTTTGCAGTCACTCTCGTTAGCGTTTTACGTCCACAAGTTGTTGTCTGTATTAAGATTCTGAACGGATCGGTGAGAGTGTAATAGGGTTTTTGATTCGGACCGGTGAGAGTGGAATAAGTGGTTTGAAACAGGCAGCAAAGAAGATGGAACGACCGGGTATAATTGTAAAACAAGTAACGAATGAAACATATGTATCTTAAACAGTTATTGAAATGAATCGTGGGTAATTTGAGAATTGAAACCTGAGAGGAGACGAAGAGAATGATGGAGCCATGTCCACGGCTCCTTTCTTTTCGGGCAAAAGCTGCCTGAAAAATCACATTGAGCTTCTCATAAAATCCATCATCTGATATACAAAAGATGATTCTAAAAGGAAACCAACAAAGAGTTCCTAGTATATGGTAACAGAAACATTTTATCCAAAGTTTGTTGTTCCGTTAGAGCATCTCCAACCCACCATCAAATCTTCCCTCAAACACCATTTTAGTGTGAAATTCATCTCCAACCCATCCTTATAATTGACACTAAAATGAGGGAACACTATTTTTTCCCTCATTTATAGTGTAACCTTATTTCTTCCCTTATTTTGATGTTGATCTTTTTTATTTGCATATTGATCCTTCAAATTTGGTTTCTTTTATTTCTAACTTAAATAAATTATAAATTTCATATTTGTTTTCTATTTTTTCTTAGAATTAATCATAAACATTATTTTAGAAAAATGACATGATTTATATTATACAAATGGATTAAAATTCAGTTTTATCCATTACAAAGTAAATAATAGATAACTCTAGAAAAGTATATAAATGAGAAATTATTGAACTTTTTTGTATCTTTAATGAAGTAATGTAATTACTTTGTATATAATAGTTTAATTTAAATAATATACTAAGTTATGGATTTTTTTATAAAGAATAAAATAAGTGGGGTTAATTTGTAAAACTTATAAAATAAAAGGTTTTTGCAATAAATTTAGATTTAGAATATTCCAGAATATTCCTTTTTAGTGTGAAAAATAAGGGAATACATTGGAGAGAAACACAACACTATTATAAGGGAACACTAAAAATAATGGAGAAAATGATGGAATACATTGGAGATGGTCTTACAAGTTACAACTTAATAAACTTAAAAAAAAAAAAAAATACATGTTTACCACTTTTTGAACTCAAAATAATGACGGTACAAAATTTTGTATCGCTAACTCTTTATGGTTTTGTTTGTACTTCTTCGTTACAGCTATAGGTTGCTGTATAATTTCTGCCGCACCAATATAGATTTACTGATCAAAAACTTTAACAATGTAAGATTTCACAATTGCAAACTAAATACTTCCAATTTTCAACTCCCAATGTTTTTTTTTTTGTAAAACCAATAAAAAAACAAACTTAACGCAAACAAAATACTTTCAAAGTCGTCATCATTTCTTCCATGAAAATATATGAAATTATTAATCAAACCTGCTATCATTTCTTCCATGAAGTCAGAAGTTTTAATCAATTCGAATCATTATCTTGCTGATGTTTCCTTACCGCGGTAAAAATCACTAATCGAATTTTTCAATCTAAAAAACACGGTAGCCAATTATCAAACCAAAGTGAAATACCGCATCTCAAACCGAGATGAACCGGTGCATCCCACTACAGTTGAACAGTTCAACTTCCCGGTTCAAGCTAACTAGCAACGTCGTCGTATGTACGACTGGCACTTCCTCCGCCGTATCACGCTTGACTTTACATTAGACTTGAGTTTCTCTTCGATCGACGGCAGAATCTTCAAGACGAAGTGAGAACTGTGAGATTAAGAATCCGAAAATGGAGAATCGAGAAGATCTTAATTCGATTCTTCCGTTCCTCCCGCTTGTGATTCGTTCGTCGTCGCTGTATTGGCCGCCGCGCGTGGTGGAGGCGCTAAAGGCAATGTCTGAAGGACCTTCTCACAGCCGAGTTGACTCGGGAGAAGTTCTGTGGCAAGCTATTTCCGATATGAGGCAATCGCTTTCTTTGTCAACTCGGCTCCTCGCTCCCTCTGCTTCTCATGGCTACGCCCTTTTCTTCGACGAAGTGATTATTCCCTTTCCTTTCCCTCGCTTCTCAATTTTGGTTTCGATTAAATTTCTGTGATCTGTTTCCTGGCAAATCAAAATTTCCGGTGATGAATTGAGGAGTGCAATGAAGTTTTTCTTCTTAACATTTGCAGCTGAGTCATGAGAAAGAATCAAAGAGGTGTTTCAATGAGATTATCCCGGCATTGGCAGGGTTACTCCTTCGATTTCCATCTCTATTAGAAGCGCACTATCACAATGCGGATACTATCGTTACTGGAATCAAAACAGGTCTTCGCTTGTTACATCCTCAACAAGCTGGCATAGTTTTTCTTAGCCAGGTATTGATGCAAAGTGCTATTTCCTAATCCTAACGTAGCAGTCAAAGGTGCTTTGGTGGATTACATGGTTCATTTGTCAGATTTTCTAGGTTAGAGGGTATTGCAACATGTATTCGGAAGAAGATGTAGTGTGTGTCTCTATGGATTTATCACTTCCCTTAACATGTCCACTACGGTTTCAACTTTGCAGGAGTTGATTGGAGCTCTTCTTGCGTGCGCTTTCTTTTGTTTGTTTCCAGTTGCTAATAGAGGTGCAAAAGACCTTCCAGTCATCAACTTTGATAATTTGTTTGCGTATGTGATCTTTCGCTTTGTCGTCTTAACTTGGGTTACGTGTAGATGCAGTTCGACAACAGAGTTTCTTTTGCTTTTCAGGAGCCTATATGAAAGCTATAGTGAAAGTCATGAAAGCAAGATAAGGTGTATTATGCATTACTTTGAAAGGGTGTGCTCCTGTTTACCTACTGGGACCGTTTCATTTGAACGCAAGGTTCTTCCAGCTGTATACCACAATTCCTTAACCACTGCTCCTGAGGCTGATTTTTGGAGCAAGTCTGACAGTTCCCTTTGCGCTTTTAAGGTAACATGAACAGGGTTGTGGGGTTCCTTACTTTGCACCACGATATTTGCAAATGCTTGTACATTATCTTTTTTGGGACAACTTTTATTGTTATAGGTTCACTCTTCTGGGTTAATAGAAGATCAATCTAACAATGCTCTGGAAGTGGACTTTGCGAACAAGTATCTTGGAGGTGGTGCCCTAAATAGGGGGTGCGTACAGGTTTGAGACTCATATTGCACATCAGATTTCAGAAGCATTCATGATTCTGGAGTTCCTTTTTTTGGTCTAAAAGATCTACTGCATATCAATCGCTTGGGATTTTCTCGACTTTATATTGGATTATTATGCAGGAGGAGATACGCTTCATGATCAACCCGGAATTAATCGCTGGCATGCTTTTCCTGCCTCGCATGGATGACAATGAAGCTATAGGAATAGTTGGTGCAGAAAGATTTTCATGTTACACAGGGTGAGATTTGGTAATTTTGTAGCATTGTTCTATGTTTACGTAATACTGGCTGTATTAGTTTCGGTATTTGGATACTTCTATGGACCACTTGGCCTGTGACATGTCAGTCTATACAAATCCTGATTGAAGCACGTTGAAAATTAATAAAAGAGGTGTGCAACTAAATTATAGATCATAAATATGGGTAATAGTTATGTTTTTACTGACGTAGTGGCCAATAGTTGGCATCTGGATCATCAAGATTTAGAACAATGTTTGATTCTTTATAGTTACTTTACTTACCCTTATCTTCTATAATTTTTTTTTCTGCTGTAGGTATGCATCTTCATTTCGATTTGCTGGTGACTACATTGACAAAAAGGCAATGGATCCTTTCAAAAGGCGAAGAACCAGAATTGTTGCAATAGATGCATTTTGTGCCTCGAAAATGAAACACTTTAGAGATATATCCCTTTTGCGGTATGTGAAACCTTCTTTTAGGGATCTAAAATTTGTGTTTAGTTTACATTTTCTCACTCTTTCGTTTTTTTTTTCAGTGAAATCAACAAAGCTCTATGTGGCTTTTTAAATCATAGAAAATCTTGGCAGAACCAGAATATATTCATAGATAAAGGAGATGATGAAGTTCAGCTTGCTAGGAACGACAAAGATTCTGGTCTTTTGCATACAGAAACTACTGCGGTTGGAATTTTTGCTACGAATCTGTAGTAACCTTTTTCATTAGTATTTTTGAAAAATTAAAGGTCTAAACTCTTTTGTTATTGTCTACACATTCTGGTACAGTCACACGGAGCTCCATTAAATGATGTCGAGGCAGGTAGAGACGAGCCTGCTAGCAATTTTGTCAGAGATTTTTACGTGGAAGGAGCCGATTGCATGGATCATGAAGATGATGGTGTCGCGACTGGGAATTGGGGATGTGGTGTTTTTGGAGGAGACCCAGAGTTAAAGGCTATGATCCAGTGGCTCGCTGCTTCCCAGGTGCACTTTCTCATCATAATTATAACTTTCCTGGATGGTACAAGTTGAGTAACAATATGCGATAAGAAGAAACATTAGATCTCATCTCTCTGAAACCACGAACTATGTGTGTTTGGACTTTAAGAAGCAATGTCACTTATGAGTCTTGACTAATATTTTCCATTGGTTTGGACAATGAGATATATAGCGGTTATCATTTGACGCTTCTTTCCTAACTTGGTCATGACTAAATTCTAGGCTCGGAGACCATTTATATCATACTACACGTTTGGAGTGCGGTCCCTCGAAAACGTAGATCAGGTAACCTCTTTTGCTCTTTAAAACTCCACGGTTGTGGAAGCTCTTTAGAATTCCACTGGCATTTACTAAGAATTGGATCTGTAGAATGCGGAATAGAGCATCTGTTGTGAACTTTTCATTGATTTTGCAACTGATACAACATCTTACAAGGACAGGTGACCAAGTGGATTCTTTCCCATGAATGGACCGTTGGAGATCTCTGGAACATGGTGCTAGAATATTCTGCTCAAAGGCTGTACAAGCAAACAAATCTTGGCTTCTTCTCTTGGCTACTTCCATCTCTAGCTAACACCAATGAAGCAAACAAATTTGCAGAGTCAAGGCCGCCTTGACTCTGCAAATTCAACTTGATCAAGTTGTTTGCTGCATCTCGATGCTGTATCTGTGCGTTTGCCCACATAGATATGTGAAAAGTGATTATTTTCAACTTACAACCATGATAACGTTGTCTTTTCACCAGTTCTTGATCCTCAAGCATGACTCATTTAGGTGCACTAGTCATGGTGTATTCTGGTTTTGGTCAATTGTTTGAATCAGTCTATATATAAATGAAACAAGTTCTCTTGTCTGGTTATGCTGAATTTTCCCGGTCACAAACATTTGACGTAGATTAAATGATTGGACTTGGTCTCTAAGGAAAACGTGTTCCTGTTTGACTTTGGTGGCATCTGTTATAAAGAAAAAAAAGTGGGCCCTTGTTTCTACTTTTTCAAGCTAGTTACCAAATTAAATGATGCAGACAACATCAAATATCGTTTTCTTTTCCTTAATCCTTTGCAGTCTTTTATCTTCTGCTTTGTAAACCTCTTTCAGGAAATCAGATAAGGCAACAAGGATGGAGAAGAGGGCAGATCTTAGGTCACTTCTTCAGTATTTGCCTCTTGTGGCTCAGTCTTCATCTCTTGTCTGGCCACGTGCTGTTGAACAAGAGCTCCAAACAATGTCTAGGGGACCGAACAAGTCAATGGTCAACTCTGGAGAGAATCTTGCCTTGCATATCACGAATATGCGCAAATCCCTCTCCTTGGAGGCATCTGATCTCGCTCCCAATCCACTACGAGGGTATGCTGTTTTCTTTGACAAGGTAACAATTCTTCTATCTTTTCATCTCTCTTCTTGGTTGTTTGTGTTTCTTTTTTTCATTGCGTCTCTAAATGTGAAACTACTGCTGAACAATTAGCATGGGACATTAAGAAATGGCAAGGACTCGTTAAGGACTCACAGACGACTGTTTTATTCTGATGCAGAAAATTTCCAGAGAAGAATCAGCTAAGTTTTTTGGTGAGGTGGTTCCTGCGTTGTGCGGATTACTTCTCCAGTTACCTTCATTGTTAGAAACGCATTATCAGAAGGCAGACAATGTTCTTGGTGGAATTACGTCCGGGCTTCGTCTATTAGGCCCTCAAGAAGCTGGCATTGTGTTTCTAAGCCAGGTATACTTTCTGAGACCAACCATAAATATGTGTTTGGTTGCACTGAATTAGTGTTAATATAGTTAATTTTGTAGTGATCGTTAGAGGTGAAGTTGCTTGATCTTTGCCTTCAAGCTTTCATTCGTCTCTTCTTCCTTTGTTTTTCACAGCTCAGTATATTTGCTGTCTTTTGCAGGAGTTGATTGCAGCTCTTCTTGCATGTTCCTTCTTTTGTTTGTTCCCTGAAGTCAACAGACGATCAAAGCATCTTCAAAAAATCAACTTTGATGAACTATTCTCGTATGTGGCTCGGTTCTTATCCTTACAACTTACAACTATATTCCCCGTAGTTACAAATCCTACTTGTGTTTTTTAAGGTTTCCGTCTATGAGTCACAGCACGAAGGAGGAAAACAAAATAAGATGCCTTATCAATTACTTTGAAAGAATTTGTCGATGTATGCCCACCGGCTTCGTTTCGTTCGAGAGGAAAGTTCTTCCACTAGAATACAATCCTCAATATGTTTCTTATCCTGAGCAAGATTACTGGGCCAAATCCAGCACCCCGCTCTGCTCCGTTGAGGTAACATTAAAACAATCTTAATTAAGCCTTCTTCGCTGTTGTGAGAATGCTTTAGGCTATCATCCTCTTGATCCATTTTGTATTGGATTAGATTCATACCTCAGGAGCTATAGAAGATCAAAGCGGTGAAGCTCTTGAAGTGGATTTTGCAGATGAGTATTTTGGAGGCCTTACTCTGAGTTATGATACTCTACAGGTCTGACTCTTCTTGCAACCTCTACCATCTTATCCACTGAATAAGTTTGTTTATGTACTTGTTTCAAGTTTTTCTTTAATAATGATCTGCTGAACATATCATAATGTCTTCCTATGTAGGAAGAAATAAGGTTTGTGATCAATCCAGAACTTATCGCTGGGATGTTCTTCTTGCCTCGTATGGATGCAAATGAAGCTATTGAGATTGTTGGCATTGAAAGATTTTCACGTTACACAGGGTAAGTAGTAAGAACCAGTGAGTTGAAGTAGATGTTAAGCTTATTATATTAGTCTTCAAGAAATCCAACACATGGAGGCGCCAATTAGGTATGGACCTTCATTCCAATACGCTGGCGATTACACAGACGAGAAGGATTTCGATACTTTGAGGAGGCGAAAAACGAGAGTCATAGCTATAGATGCCATGCCTAACCCAGGAAGTACACAGTACAAACCTGATTCCCTCCTTCGGTAATCAAAACTTGCCTTATTCATACGTTCTTTCTTTTTATACAGTTTTAAGGTTTGTGACTTGCTCATTGACTCCTATTGTTTCTATAGAGAGGTTAACAAGGCTTTTAGCGGATACCTGCATCAATGTAAATATCAAATTGATGCAGACTCTAACTATACTCACCCTGAGGCATCATCTTCGGTAAGAACATCACTTTTGCTCGTACTTGTTAAGTTTTTTTTCCCTGACTTTACTAAGATTAAATCTGTTCTGGTATAGCGGCCTAATTCTCTTCCATCAGCTACGGCGAGCCAAGTTATAGAAAGCTCTCAGAGATTGTGTATCGATCATGAAGAGAAGATCGGTGTAGCTACAGGTAATTGGGGTTGCGGTGTGTTTGGAGGCGATCCAGAACTAAAGATCATGCTTCAGTGGCTTGCCATTTCACAGGTACGCTTCTCTGTTTTCTTCAATTGCTCCTGCAAACAAACTATCAGCATTCCATTTAAAAGCAAAAACGCTCTCAATCTACTTTCTCCAGTCGGGAAGACCCTTGATGTCATACTACACATTTGGACTCCAAGCCCTGCAAAATGTCAATCAGGTTATTAGAATCTTACTCGACTCGTTGAAACTACATCACTGTTTCAAGACCTCTGAAAGCGTATTATGTTATATGCTTTTCAGGTGATCGAAAAGGTCGCATTGCAAGAATTGACTGTAGAGTATTCTGCAGAGAGGCTCAGCGGAAGAACAAAGCTTGGCTTCTTCTCTTGGCTCATAGCCTCACTTTCTACTTAGAAAACCAATCAAGTCAAAGTTTTATACTCTTTGCTGAATAATGTGAGATCCATATCTGATACCTCTGTCTGTTTCTGAAACCTGCAATCTATCCAATAAATGTTGTATCGTAATTACTTTGAAATTATCTGATTATCTGAATGAGATCTTAGCTTTCCTTGTGCAATTGGTCAATTGGTCTATTTATCTGCTTAAAGTATTTACTCAAAGACATAATCAAACCAGTAACTGTTATTTGAGGACGAGTACGAAATAAAGCCAGATGGAAACAAAACCATATATTATCATCCATGTCAAACCTTTTAAGAAAGCTAACAAGCTAATGTCATGAATGAATCTCAACAAATTCGGAATAAACAGACAAAAAAAGCAAAAAGAATAATGAGTCGCATAGCAGAGCTGTTTTGGCCGGAACTTTGAGTTACAACCGGAGCTCCAGATCCAGATCCTCGTCAGAGTGTGGTGAAGTCCAGCTAATTGTCTCTTGTACAGCCTCCATAGGAGCCGTCTCCACCGCCATCCAGTTGAATTCTCCGGACTCTCTAGTCGTCTCAGGAACCGGAACTCGGCAAGTCCAGCTAATTGTCTCTTGTACAGCCTCCATAGGAGCAATCTCCACCGCCATCCAGTTGATTTCTCCGGAATCTCTAGTCGGCTTAGGAACCGGAACACGACCAGTCCTCCTTCTCTTTGGAAAGTTAACAAACCTCCTGTTACTCTCTTCTTCAGCCTCAAGACTAGCTTCACGTCCAAATATCACGTCAAAATCTCTAGTAACAACTGAAGCCACGGGTGAAGAAGAAGCTGCATCTGTAGCTTGAGCCAGAGGTTGAGCCACAACCCGATCTTGATCTGCAGCTAGAGCCAGAGCTTGAGGCTGCGGAGGAGGAACGAGAGCTAAGTAGAGCCTGCCTTTGGAGTGGAAGGACCAGAGGTGAATCCTCTGGTTTACCTGTAACCGGTTATGGCGAAAGACCTTGGTCCAACCGGTAACCAAGACGTAGTTGCAACTGTTCTTCATATCCCATCTCCTGAGGTTAAGATTCCACTTTCGGCGATTAGAATCGACCAAGATCACATCCACTCCCGTCAGACGCTTCTTGTTGAAATGGTCATCTATGTTTCTCTGCTCTTCCTCGCTCAAGAAGTCCATCTCCGCCATCTGGTTCCATGGAATCAAGAGACGCGTTAGGTTTGTCGCGAGATCACTCTTCATCAGATCCTTTTCGATGACGAGCTTCGCGTCCACACCGTCCTCTTCTCTCATTAGGTTAACCAGCCACTCCGGCGTCTCCCCCCTCTCTCTTCTGATGACCGGCTGTCTAACCGGCGGCTTTCTTTTAACCGGCGGTTTTAATTCTCTAATCGGCACTGCTCTGATCGGGACCACCGCAAGACGCTTCTCGGACTCTACGGAGGACAAACTTGACGAAGAAGAAGTAGAAGAAGAGGAAGCGTGATCAAGACGGTTAGGGTTTTCTTGACTCTCGCGGCGCTCCATAGTCTTTCGTTTTCCCAGTAAAGATCTCGCGGCTTCCCCAGTTACGCAATCGATCAAGAATCTTTTTCTCTGTTCTTCTTCTTCTTCACGTCTCGTCGCTCTTGTTTCTTCGTCACGGAAAGCGACAAGCAACCTCGCTAAAAGATCAAACGTTCTCCTTTCTCTCATCAAACCCTCGCGTTGATCATCATCGTCTCTCATCATCGTCGCCATCGAAAAAAGTAAAGCTTTTTCTTTTTTTGGTTTACGGCAATGAAAGTCGAAAACAATTAGGAAATAGAGAAGAGAGAGGCTGAGAGTTGTGAGGGTTTGTGTTATTGTGTAAGTAGGACTGCTTAAATAGATTTTGATTTGACTCAAGTCCTTTTCCTATTTAAACTGTAAATCTTTACTAAACTTTCCTTTTTTTAATTTGTTTAGTGAAGATAACTCTAATCACAAATCTGTAAAAGATTGCCTCTTTTTCCTTTTTTATAAATCCGTGTTCTTATTGGTTGAGGTTAATTCTGCGGTAACAAAAATAAATATATTTCAACATAATTAGAAAGTCTCGGAAGCTTCTTCAGTCCGTTGGGGGAAAAGGAAAAGGAAAATTCCCTAGTCAACTAAAAGTCCACGCGAGGCACTCCCAGATTCTTGGGGTACGAAAAACAACGGTTCACTGTAACATTAAACCTCGCATGACGTGTCATTTTCTTATTGGTAAAAATTGTTCTGACATTAATGAACGAGTAAAACGGGGTTTTTAGCGTTTAACTAGCCAGTGTAGATAATTTTTAGTGTTTGCGATTGCGAATTTGCGATCATCCGGAATTTATCGCCGGCATGATCTTCTTGCCTTGTATGGATGCAAATGTTTTGAGAACATCGAATCTGCTCGTACATGGATTTAGCATACTTGTTAACGTTTTTTTCGTAACTTTACCAAGATTACGTACATTTGTTGTGTATAGCAAATTAGCAAGGTTGTAGAAAGCTTTTGAAGGCGGTGTATCAATCATGAAGAGAAAATCGGTATAGTTACATGGCATCGGTCTGGTTGCGGTGTGTTTGAGGCAATGCATAACTAAATATGCTTCATTAATGATTCGTCATTTCAAAGGTACGCTTCTCTGATTTCATCATTTTGTTTTTCTTGCGGAACACACAAGTATCATTCCATTGAACTGCGAAAACTCTCTCAATCTACTTTCTCCAGCCGGGAAGACCCTTCATGTCATACTACACATTTGGCCTCCAAGCTCTTAAAAATCTCAATCAGGTTATTAGAATCTTACTTCGCTGAAACTTCTTCCTCTCATTTCTTTAAGATCTTAAAGAAAAATTATATTCATATATAATATATGCTTTGCAGGTGACTGAAAGGGTCGCATTGCAAAAATTGATTGAAAGAGAGCTGTGGAGTAAGGTAGTTGAGTATTCTTCAGTGAAGTTCAGTAGAACTGTAGAAGAACAAGGTTTGGCTTCTTCCTGTGGCTCATAGCAGCCTCACACTCTGCTTGCTTAAAGGTCCAAACTGAGTCAAAGTTTTATAGTAATATACTACTATTTTCCAAGTTCTATGAGATCCATTAATTTCTCTGTCGTTTTCTGACACCTGAAGTCTCTTTATTACCCATTTCATGTTGTCTCTTACTAGTACGTTTCAGTTTGCCTGATGTATATCCTTGTTTCCATATGCTTAACAGGTAATCAAACCGGTTTTATGTGTTTCCCGCAAGGAATCATATGATAAAAAGACGGCTTGTAATAAAAGCTTTCGAAAACTAACATTAGTATCATTAAAGAAGCTAACGAGGTATCTAAATGAATCTAAATAACACCTAAGAAGAATAAAAAATAAAGAATAAAAACACCAAAACAAAAAACAAAACAAAAAAACACCAGAATCATAGTTTAATTCAACCGGCGCAGGCCTTCCAACTTCTTCAACTCTGCTTCTGCCACGGCACATAAAATATTAAACGGACTCATATTAGAACCCACTCCAGAAGATCTATTCACATTATCTAAATCCTCGTTTATGCTTTGCCCGATGTTGCCAGAGTCTCTAGTTGGAGCAGGAGCTGGGACAGGAACTTGAGTGCTTCTGATTCTCATATCTGCCTCAGCCACTGCAGCCAACATGAGTAGATTAGAAGCCATCTCCTCATCCACTTCAGGAGATCTACTGACATAATCTAAATCCTCGTCTATGCTTTGGCCGACGTTGCTAGAGTCTCTAGTTGGAGCTGGAGCTGGGACCTCAACTCTAGTGCCTCTCCTTCTTCTTGGAAAGTCAACAAATATCCTCCTGCGACTCTCCTCATCAACCTCTAGACTAGCGTCAACTATATATAGCTCGTCAGAGTTTCTAGTTACAACTGGAGCCTGAGCTGAAGATGAAGCTGCATCTAGAACTGGTTCCAGATCTTGAGCCATAGCCGGAGCTGGAATCGTAACCGGACCCGGAGCTGGGGCTGGAGCTTGAGCAGGAGGAACGAGAGCAAAATAGAGCCTGCCTCGGGAGCGGAAGGACCAGAGGTGAATCCTCTGGTTTAACCTTAGCCTGTTATGGAGACAGACCTTCCTCCAACCGGTTATCAAGACGTAATTGGAACTGCTCTTCATATCCCATCTCCTGAGGTTAAGATTCCATTTTCCACCATTAGAATCCACCAAGATCACATCCACTCCCGTCAGGCGCCTCCTGTTGAAATGGTCATCTATGATTATTTGCTCTGCCTCGGTCAAGAAGTCCATCTCCGCCATTTGGTTCCATGGAATCAAGAGACGTGTTAGGTTTGTCGCGAGATCACTCTTCCTAAGATCCTTTTCAATGATGAGCTTCGCATCCACACCATTCTCTTCTCTCATTAGGTTAACCAGCCATTCCGGCTTCACCCTCTCTCTTATGACCGGCTGTCTAACCGCCTCTCTTCTGACCGGCACTCTTATGACCGGTTTTATCTCTCTAACCGGTTCTGCTCTGGTCGGTTCGTTGGGAACCACAAGACGCCTCTTGGACTCAAGTGTGGAGAAACTTGGAGAAGAAGCATCAACCTTTCGTTTGCGCAAGCGAGAGAGCTCTGTTGCTCTACTTATCTCCTCCTCTTCTTCTTCTTCTTCTTCTCGTATCGCTATTGTTTCGTCATTAACATAAGCTGAGAGAAGCAACCTCGCCAAAAGATCAGACGTTCTTCTCTCTCTCAGCAAACCCTCGCGTTGATCATCATCATCGCTCACCGTCGTCATCGAAAAGTAGAGAGGCAGGCTAGGAGGGTTTAGTAGGACTGCTTAAATAGAAACTTTGATTTACCACAGACCTTTTCCTATACGGACACAATGAGACTAAATATTTACTAAATCATTATTATATTAATTTTTATTTTGTTTAGTGAAGATAAATATTGATTTTGCCGGTTTCCTTGTGAAATTCTTGTTTATCTTGTATTCCTATAGGTTGTTTTTAAACCAGAAATATTGCACCGCCTTGATTTTCAACATAATGAGTGATTGTCTATCCTAAATACACTCGGGACTGCACTACCTGATTTTTTTTTTTCGTTTAGGCTTTGTACTGCACTACCTGATTCTCGAGGAAAATAAAAAGAACAATATATTAAAACTGGGGTTTATCTGATGTTAAAAAAAGAAAGAAAAAAAAAACTCTACAATTCGTACCTTAATTATTAAATCATAACATAGAAAGAAAACCCACTGGCAAATTGACCTAACAAACCTTTATAAAAAATTATTAAATCATCATAACATAGAAATAAAACCAAAAAAGAAAAACCAAAACAAAAGGTCTTGTACGAGTGTGAAGTATCCACACTATGGAAACAGTTGTCTTCATTCTCTGCACAATGTGTGGTTGGTTATGTATTGGTGAACACGATATCACTCATCTGTTCGTTCTAATTCCTCTGTTGTCTCCTATATTAAATTTGTGTGAATAATACAATGAAATCACATTTGACTAATCAATTCAGCATGGTGGAATTCATCTGCTTAATCCTCTCCACGTTTCTTGATCCGCAAGCAAGGATATAATAAACTAATCTCTTTAGTCAAAGGTGTTTTAGTTTAATCAATCAGAGTGGTGGAGCTGTAGAAACTTTATATATTTGTCTATGTTGTGTATTCTATTCTCATCTTTCAGAAGAAACCTACAACCTTCACCTTGAAGAAGCAAGAGAGAACAGAGCAATGGAGAAAAGGGAAGATCTTGAGACTATTTTACCATACTTATCTCTAGTGGTTAAGGATTCGTCTCTTTCTTGGTCATCGCCGCGCGTGGTGGAAATTTTAGAAGCTATGGCCAAAGGACCGAGTCACAGCCGAGTCGTCTCGGGACAAACTCTGTCAGATTCCATCTCTGAGATGAGACAATCTCTCTCTTTGACTTCTCATCTTTCTTGTTCAGCACGTCAAGGATACGCTCTCTTCTTCGACGAGGTAGCAACAAAATAAAAACAAAAAAAAAAAATCAAAAGTTTTTCCGAATTTTTCAGATTGATTGAGTGAATAATGTAATTGGTTTGGTGCAGAGAATGTCAAAAGAAGAATCAAGCAAATGGTTTAACGATGTTTTGCCTGCAATGGCTTGTCTTATTTTGAGGTTTCCAGCTCTCTTGGAATTGCATTATTTGAATTCAGAGAATGTAATCAATGGAACCAAGACCGGTCTTCGTGTCTTAGGCCCCAAGAAATCTGGCATGGTGTTCCTCAGTCAGGTTTATATCTTCCAAATCCAAACACTTCTGATGCAAATTCTCAATTTAGCAAGAGAGGTTTGAAAAGTGTTTTTCTTTTTGGCTAATGGCAGGAACTTATAGGAGCATTGCTTGCATGTTCTTTCTTCTGTTTGTTTCCTGTTGACAATAGAGGCTCAAATTGTCTTCCAAACATCAATTTCGATAAACTATTCGGGTATATATATATATATATATATTATCAAACAACAAATCACATATACATAAAATTAAGATTCAAGATCTTCACATTTTGCACCCAAAAAAAAGTTTCAAGATCTAGACGTTGACCTTTTGCAGAAGCCTAATCAACACGGCACAAAACGAACATCTGGAGAACAAGATCAAGTGCATAATTCATTACTTCAAGAGGCTATCTTCATGTATCCCTCCTGGATTCGTCTCATTCGAACGGAAGATTCTCTCTCTAGAACAAGATTCTACTTGTCTCGAAGCTTGTCCTGATGCAAGCTTTTGGAGCACATCTACCCTCAGTCTCTGCCCTGTTGAGGTAATTCAATTAACCAGATCAGTATCTATTGTCTCTCTGTAAAAACATTTTATGGTCAGTTTACAGTTTAGTATCGTATAGGTTCATACTTCTGGTTTAATCGAGGATCAAAGCGTTGAGGCTCTTGAAGTTGACTTTGCCAACAAGTACTTAGGAGGCGGTGCTCTTCGCAAGGGATGTGTCCAAGTCTGTAAAATGTAACCTAAATCCTTTTGATACTGTGAACAATTCTTCTCTGATGTGAATGATTTCATGAAAACATACAGGAAGAAATTAGATTCATGATAAATCCAGAATTGATCGCTGGTATGCTCTTCTTACCTGCCATGGAAGTTACTGAAGCCATTGAAGTTGTTGGTGCTGAAAGATTCTCTCACTACACAGGGTGGTTACAAAAGTTCTTTGAGTTATATATATACACAGAGACATTAAAATGTGATTGTGAAATGCTTTTACTTATGTTAAAAACTGGTTTCTACATTCTGTAGATATTCATCTTCGTTTCGGTTTTCCGGTGATTACATCGACACAAAGGAGATAGATGTTTTCGGAAGGCGAAAAACAAGAATCATCGCCATAGATGCTCTACGTCATCCAGGAATGTCCCAGTACAAACCTGAATGCCTCCTCCGGTAAAACTGAATCAGATCTTTACTTATTGTTAACTTGTCTTGTAATCAAATTGTTTCTAAACATCTTGTTTCTAATCCTTTCTTCTTCAGGGAGACCAATAAGGCTTTCTCTGGTTTCCTTCATGTCTGCAAGAACCAAAGCAACGGACAATGCACAGATCATGAAGAAGGAGTTGGTGTTGCTACAGGGAATTGGGGATGTGGTGCTTATGGTGGAGATCCTGAGATCAAATCTCTTCTTCAATGGATTGCTGTTTCACAGGTCAATATCTTAAACCATTTCTCTCCGTTCAATGGCTGTTTATTTTTGGCTCACAACATTACATTTTTCTTCAGGCAAGAAGACCTTTCATGTCTTACTACACTTTTGGATTCGAAGCAGTCCATAACCTAAATCAGGTTTCGTTTTTCCTCATTGCTATACAAATTACAAAACAGAGCAATGTTCTGTGCAGACTAATATCCAGTTTTGGTTACTACAGGTAACAGAATTGGTTGTATCTAAAGGATGGTCAGTGGGAGATCTATGGAAGAAACTGGTCGAATATTCGAACCAGAGGTTAACAGGCAACAAGAAAAGAAGAGAGCCTAAACTTGGATTATTTGATTGGCTTATTTCGATCATATCTGCTCAAAAGCATTGAGTCATTGACTCAGAACATTTGCTGTTAACTTTTATTGCAACAAAACTCAATCTGATTTCAGAAACACATATAATTTGTATCTTCCGAGTGAAGTTTATATATAAATGTGGGGAAATATTCAAACAAAGGCCACCACTGTTTTGTAGATTTCTCGAGGAGGCTATTTGAGGTTTAGTTAGTTATGTTGAATGCTGTCTTCATTCTCTGCACAACGTGTGGTAACGTATTGAGGTTGTCCTCAATGGATTTGTGGACGCAACTTTCCATCTCGTTAACCGCTTCAGGCCTTATCTTCTGGAGCTTTGCAGCTTCAAATTTGTCTTGACACACCATTAAAGATCTGTTCAGTCTTTCCTAATACATTCGGCCAACAAAGATGTATATATAGATGCAGCATCAGTTATCATCTTTCATAATCACCAAACATTTTTGTATCTCTCTTTTCTTGTGGAAGGAAAGTACCTGAAACTGAGCCATTTCGTTCTCAAAATGCTGTTGAGATTTGACAACGGGAACACTGCAGTACTCAACGCAGTTACTTATCTCCTCTTGGTTTCTACTTCTGTCAAAGCACTCATATGCACATTTGAAGTAAGCTTGCTGCAACAAATTGAAACAGTTGTTGTTGGGGTTGATTAGTTTTGGTTTACTGGATCACATAACTCAATACAGCAATTAACAACCAAGAAAACAAATGGTGAAAAAAGTAACACTCAAATTTCTGAAGACCAATGTAGAACGAACCAGAGCAATATATAGACAGTTTCATGAACCTGATCCACAGTCTCTAAAGACAAATATAAGAACGAAAACCGAGCAAGATTTTCATGAACCTGAATAATATAGTCGTAGAGATATCAAACTCAATACATCAAAAAGTTTACTTTCCAAGAACTACCACGAGAGACGACTTCTTGAAACTATGGAGATTGTATCAAAACGAATAAAGATTTTATTTTCAGAAGCTAAACATTGCTAAATTGATAAATAAGAAAGCCTAAGAGACACAATATGAAGGATGCGACATCAATTGGGACGTTGATGAGCTCGAAACGCAAGACATGCAAGAAAACACAAACCTGCAGGGTGAAATTGATGTGATCTTGGACAGGAGAAAGCTGAGCCTGAGCAGCTACATTAACTTCTTCGAGCTTTCTTTGAAGCCTCTCCGATACAATTTGCTCCTCCGCTGCAGCTATGTGTTCCATCGTCTCTCTCTCTCTCTCTCTCTCTCTCTCTCTTCGTCTCCTTCTCCTCCGGTGAGCGGAATTTTGATTTTAAGAGCTTAGGGTTTAGCTAAAGCCGCAAACCAACCGGGTTTTCACAATGTTGGGCCGGGTTTCTCTTAACCGGTCTTCTATCCCGTCAGAAAAAAATGGCTTCATTAACCGACATAAACCGGAAACATAATCAATTACTAATCAATCGGTTTCAGATAACCAGCAAAAACTCGACATGTGTTCTTAGACTAGAGAGCTTAATCTAATTTTCTTTCCAGCAAGTTAAACTTTTGCATTAGAATCAATTATATTACGAATGTAGACAAATTATACAAAGTCCAAATAATGGTGATCAAGCAGTAAAATAACAGTAACAGCCATTGTCTCCATAAGTTTTATGTTATCATCAGACTTTAAACGTTTTGGCCTGTCTTCATTAGATTCTTGAGACAGAGAGATTTTAAAAGTGGTGGTGGTGGTGGTGGTGGATTCGATCATCGAAAGGGTGAATTAGACTTGAGAGTGAAAGCAGGAGATGTCGGAGTATTGAGAGGAGCCCAGATATCAGCACCATTGGTTTGAGCAACCCCTAATGTACACTCCATTGGGACAAGACATAACCCTCTGCTTCTTAAGCTGCACTCTTCCATCTCCTCCTGCGTAGCGGTGGGTGTTGTTTGCAGATATGGAGCGCTTAGAACCTGTACAGGCAACAAGCAAAGTCATTGTTGGATCGGAAGAAGAGACAAAAGAAACATGCTTTGGATTAAAGCAGAGCAGACCTTGACTTGTTCTTGAAGAAACTGTATGTACTGCATCGTCTCTAGAAGAACTGATGCAGTGTCTGTCTGCAATAGAGAGACTTAGACATGTAAGAGAAAACCATTTCTCTTGCTTGAAAAGGAATGTTTTAGACTGATTAGTAGTGTACCTTTCCGTAAGGAGAAACTAGCTGCTGAAGAGCTGAAATACGTTCTCCAACCTTGTCCTTCCTCTCCTGTTTAACCACAGAAACAACAAAGTTCCAAGATCATTAGCATGCTGGTACAAGAACGAGCGGGGAGCTTCATTAGTTTTGAAGATTGAGAGTATCATAAGACCTTTGAAGAGAAAGAGAGATCAGGCTTGTGTCGTTTAATGCTGTTTTCTTCAAGAGAGCAGACACTACGCTTATTCTCCATCATCATCCCTGCCGAGTCTCTAGAATATTCCATTCCTTTGTCATCAAACAAAACAAAAAGATCGGTTTTTAAACATGAGAAACATGTTTACTTGTTACCCTTTAAAAGAGATATGTTTGTGAGGAAAAAGCTAATCTAATGGTTCATCCGAAAGCAAGTTGCAGAAAAAAACATAAGGTTACAACTCAAACTCAACAACTTGCTTTTTCGCAGCGTCACAAGGACAAATCTATACGCCTTGAGTGACAAACAAATCGGTGACTTGGTTTCAAAATTTAAAATTAGATGTAAACTACAAAGGGATGCAAATACCAACCAAAATGCATGGGAAGATACGACTTTGGATTATAAAATTAGTAGGCGAGAGCAATGGTCAAAGAAAGTAGATAATGGTCTGAGGTTAGCCCTTAAGATCACATCAGCTTTAAAGTATTTAATTTAAGGTTGGTAACACAATCATAGCTCATAGGTGATTAAATATGATATCATGTATTTGCTTCCATACGCAGACAATACAATGTACATGCATTGATGCATATGATATTCTTACTCAAGAAACAACGAAATAAACTCGTTTGAATAATAGTAACACATTAACCAGTTCATTTAATGAGTAGAAAAGAAGAACCGAATAATCATTAAAGGTGCTTTTTCTTTGGGGTCGAGTTAATTTAATTCCATTGAAAATTCTATAGAGACAAGATTCAAAGCTAAGTGAACTTCAGTAGAAAACCCCACAAGAATATGAGAAGAACATCAACAACAACAAAAAAAAGATAGAGATGCTTTCGATACTTAAAAGGGGAAGAAATTCCAAAATATGGGGATGAAAAACAGAGTAAATGAAAAGGAACAAAAATATTCAAGAACTTACAGAGACAAGAGACTCAGCATTTGCCAGAAACAGCACACTGACCAACAAGAACTTAGCAAGCTCCGGTTTTTCTTCGTCTAAGTTTCTAGATGGGCTCAAAGCACAAAGCACAAAACACGATGAAACCCATAAACCAGGATTTTGGTCTCTCTGTTTTGAAGGAAAATCTACGGCTTTAATGAAGCTCGAGCTCCGACGGTGACGCGAGACGCCGAGACCAGAGTTTTGCGTTTGGATAAAAACGGCGTCGTAACTTAAAGGGTCGTGAGATAGAGCAATCGCTGAAATCTCAACACGAGAGAGAGAGAAGAATTTTGTGTACAGAAGAAAGCAAAAGAGAAGAGGGGGCTACGTTTCATGTCTTTTTCTTTATTTTGTTTTTCCTTTCGTCTTGTTCATTTAATTCTCATTAAATCTATATTTTCTTGTGAGACCAAAAAATAAAAACTTTTCTTTTCTTTTTTGACATCAATAAAAAGTTATCTTAGTAATATTATGAGGAAAATTCTAAAAAACTATTTGGATTGTTGAGACTGTTCAATTCAAAATGTAATCACACCGGATATTTGTTAACAAAATGTAAAAAGATAGTGTGACTGACTAAATACTACATGTAATGTTGCTATTCAGTCATTTTAATTTCACGATATAAAAAAAATCATGAAAATTCAACTATGTTGTTTGGGAAGTAACTCCAAGAATTTCATTGTACCATCAAATGTATTTTTGATATGTCCAAAAAAAGATATGTAAATATTTGACAGCTAATGTACAACTAATACCGAGAGGTCCTTTTACCAGTCCCAGATAGAAGTCGCTTTCTTTATTTTCAGTATATTAAACTAAAAAAAAGCTAATTATTTTGAAAGTGACATTTGATTGTCTTTTATTTAGTTTTGTCAACAAAAAATTGACCAATTCTGCTGCATCTGTCGCTTCTTCTTTTTCAACTTTTTGCTTTCTTTGAAATTTTCTACGAGAGAGGTTAATGCTTTGTACCCTTTGGTTGATATCCGAGTACATTCACACACAGACTCTGTCACCTATACAGTTTCATAACCCATCTTTATATATGAACAGAATCTAATTGTCTTTAGTTTTTGTCACTAATTTGCATTGATCCTCGTTAGATATTTAAAAATACGAAAAAAAATTGAAGCCGCTGGCCCGCTAGTTAGAATCAAAACTGTGCTAAACGAATACTGAGTTTGATTCAGTTTAAATTAAGTTTACATGCAAAATATGGAATTAATCAGCGTTCCACGCCGGACCCACGCGGTTTCTGTATTCGTTTGTTTGTTTACTATTTTTCTTTTATCTTCGCGGCGACCAGACTTTTTTCTTATAAATGTATAAAAAAAATAGTCTTACGTACGCACCAAAATGTGCCTATGTTAAATGATTATTTCTTTGTTTAAAACATAAAACAAAGAAATGAATATCGTAATAATCACCATAAGCCTTGGTTCCAAAAAAAAAAAAGGTTCGTTATCACCATTCGAAGTTCGAACCGTTGGTTAGCAACAACACGG